GCTGCGCACGACGAGAACAAAGAAAACTACTGTTGAATCTGCCAATCTATGTGGACGTTGAGCTCCATCGATATGAACTGTTGTGCTCACTCGCAGCAAAGCGACAAATGGCGAGAGACACATCGCTCTGAATCAGCATCACGCCGCCAATTGCTTCAGAGCCACGCTGCTTGGTGCAAATGCTTTGGCTTCGGCTCTGGTAGGAAAGAAAAACTATTAAATCTTAATTTTGAATTTGATAGTTTAAAACTAAGGTTAGGTCTAATTTTCACAAAAATAAACTCCATAGCCCACACAACCCATACAAACGTAGGTCTCACATAGAACACTCACAATCGCATCAATCACCCAAACGCCAGAGATGTGAGATGATGATTGCAAGATCGCACACACAGACATTGGAATTTGCATTGATTGTCCACAAAGACGTCGAGATTCTCAGATAGAACTCCGACCACCCATTAACTTAGCTACAAAGAATCGATGCCTGTGGACGAAATTAAACATAATTGCCATCGATTCCAAGAGAAGAGTTAAAAAAATTACCGCAACCTCACGATCCCCAATCGTCGCTCATAGATGACACCAAATTTTCAAGAACCAAATTCCTGGCAACAAAACCAGAGACTGAAGGAACTAACTCAAGATTCAAAGGTGGGCTTTGATACCATAGCAATCTTTTGGTTGAATTGTTATTCATTCTAGGATCGCTTTCATTATATAGGAATAGAAAAATATGTACAACTATGGTATGTAATCAACCTAATATGGTAATGTACAATTATGGTAAATACAATCATATAAGGATAGCAATATAACTGTAATATAATCTTCGTCAATTTCATTGATCTCATTGACAAGTACCGTACTAACATCTGTTGTATTTCACATTCTAAAATTTGCCACTCAATTACTGTAACTATGCGAAGCTACAAAAATTTCTAGAAGTGTACAATGATGGCAATAGCAAGGGTGGATTTAGCTCGAGAGTGAAATTCCTGGATTTTCCAATATCATTATTCTGATGTCATGATGAAGAGGCAACAACTCAGTGGAAGAAGTGGGGAAGAATGAAGAAGAGAACCAACCGTAACTATATTTCAAGTGGGAATAGAGTGGGGTTTACACCTGACAATTAAGTATTGTTTTGTATATTACGTTTCTTGTATTTGAATACGTTTTTTTTTAATTGCAGTAGCATATATATAGAGACCAGATGAGTGAGGAAGGGATAGTTTGGATGTAAAACCAATTCAGTTATTCTATTTCCTCTTTTGAATTTCTCTCTGTTATTCTTCTTTTTCTTCTTGCCCATTTTTCAATTTGTGATCATTTCTGAAATTGAGTTTGAGTTGCAGCTTCCTAGGACCAGCCTTCAATTTGTTAATAATTTTGAGTGAGTTCATCATCAACTTTAGCTTCACTCATTACATTTGGTATCAAAGCACTTAGTTTCTGGATAAGGATGGAGACTAGATAGAAAACTAAAGAAGAAAATCTATAGAGGCTTGATAAGGAATCAGGTGAGTTGAGTGCTGCTGTTGCTTTTCTCACTAGTAAGGTTGATTCCAAGTTTGATAATATTGATTGATATATGCATCAAATGAATGAGAAACATGAGGCTGTTGTTGCTCTACTAGCTAAAATAATTGCATCCCAAGAGAAACGAGTAGAAGGATCCAACAGTGGATCAGATTTTGATGGTAGAGTATTAAGTGTGAAGTCTGGAAGGAAGATAGATCAGAAGGGGTACTTTTAATGCTAGAATGAACACCAAAATCCCAAAAATCGATTTTCCCAATTTGAGGGAGATAACCCAAGTGGGTGAGAAAAGCCAATAAATATTTCCAAATACATTAGGTGACTGAAGAACTGAAGGTGGGAATTGCATAAATGCATTTGAAAGGAAGGGCTGACATATGGTTCCATGGCTTCCTAGCTTGTAATCCCAATGCTAGTTGGAACCTATTGGCTATGGAAATTTGTAGAAGGTTTGCGGAGGCCACTGGCGATGATGTAGTGGAGACCTTTAGCAAGATCAGACAATATGGTGGTGTAGCTGAATGCATGGAGAAATTTGAGGATTTAAAAGCTTAAGCTATGCAAGCCCTACCCAACCTACTTGAATCCTACTCTATTAGCATCTTTACCAGTGGACTGAAGGGAGAAATTAAATCCATGGTCAAGATGCTCAAACCTAGCACACTAACCCAAGCCTTTGAAATAGCTCAACTCCAAGAGATCACCATCTCTGCTATAAATAAGAACTCTAAAACCACTAAGCCATTTACTATAGTAAACACCCTTTATACTCCTCAAAAGATGCCTAAACCACACAACCTAACCTCTAAAATATCTAGTCAAGTTTTAAAAAATTCAACCTCACTCTATAAGACCATTTTCCCAACTGATATCTAAACTAAAAGAAACCCGAGGCTTTGTTTTAGGTGTGATGAGAAGTACATCCAAGGGCATGTTTGCAAGAATAGGATGTTGAACTTTATGATGGTGGATGAAGAAGATGAGGGTGATGATAGAGGGATAGGTAATCCTGGTGGAGAAGGGAATGATGAGGTTGAGGGGAAGAAATTATGCAAATCTTGATCGGTGCATTAGTAGGGCATAACAGACACAAAACTATAAGGATTCCAGGGAAGATTAAGGACAAGAGAGTATCTATACTCACTGATAGTAGAAGCACCCACAACTTTATAGATGAGAGACTGGTTCATTCATTAAGATACTTAACAGTAATACCAAACTAATGATGGTGGCTATGGCAAATGGAGAAAAACTTGAGAGTAAGGCTATATACCAGTTTAATGACTTGGAAAATGCAAGGGTTGGAGTTCCAATTCAGACTAAGGTCCTTAAAACTCGAGGGAAGTGACATGGCATTGGGGGTGAATCGGCTTAGTCAATTTGTGCCAATAACCTTTGATTTTACCAAGGGATATATTAGATTTATGCATGATGGGAGGGAAGTAGAGCTAAGCAGTGAACTTACAGGTGGTAAGACCGAAATGATTAGTGGAGAGCAGATGGATAGATAGATGGTGAAGCATGAATATAGGATCTTGGGATAGTTGTATGCCATCACAGATGTGGATTTAGAAGAAACCAAAGAAGACCTAAAGCTAGTTTTAACTGACTTCAAAGATGTATTTGCTAAACCTAAAGGACTACCTCCGACTCAAAGCCATGATCATCAGATTAACCTTAAAGAAGGAGCTCAGCCCTTCAAACTCAGGCCCTACGGATGTCCCTTTATTCAAAAGACTGAGGTAGAACAATTGGTTAAAGAGATGATGGAATAGGGAATCATTCAACCTAGTAGCAGCCCTTTTCGGTCACCTATACTGTTGGTCAAGAAAAAGGACGGAACCTGGAGGTTTTGTGTTGACTATAGGAAACTCAACAACTTGATTGTGAAGGACAAATACTCTATGCCCTTGATTGATGAATTAATTGATAAACTCTATGGAGCTAAATACTTCTCTAAGATTAATCTTAGAGTGGAAGACCATCAGATAAAAGTCAAGCCAAAGGATGTTTATAAAATAGCTTTTAAGCCTTATCAAGGCTTGTATGAATTTAAGGTCATGCCTTTTGGGCTGACCAATGCCCCTGCTAAATTTCAAAGCTTGATGAATGAGGTGTTTAAGGAGCAGTTGAGAAGGTATGTACTAGTTTTCTTTGATGATATACTAGTATATAGTGTAGATATGCCCAGCCACTGCAAGCATTTAGGAGTTGTGCTATAACTACTCAAAAAACATCAGTTGTATGCCAAGTTGAGTAAATGCTCTTTTGGGCAAAAGAAGGTGGAATACTTAGGCCATGTGATTGATCAATAGGGAGTATCAGGGGACCCTAAGAAAGTGGATGCAATGCATTCCTGGCTTGTGCCAACTAACATCAAACAACTAAGGGGATTTCTTGGCTTGACTGGCTACTATAGGAAGTTTGTAAAGGGGTATGGGACATTAGTCAAGCCCTTTATTGATTTGCTTAAGAGGGATAATTTTGTGTGGTCTGATGTAGCAGAAACATCATTCAATAATCTTAAGTTAGCTATGAGCTCCACTCCAGTGCTAACTTTACCCAACTTTGAGCAACCTTTTGTTGTGAAAACAGATGCATGTTATAGAGGCATAGGAGCAGTCCTGTGCAGGATAGGAAGCCCTTAGCATTGCTAGTAAGGCTATTGGGCCAAGAAGCTTGGGAATGTCAATATATGAGAAAGAACTCTTGGCTTTAGTCATTGCGGTGGTGAAATGGAGGCATTACTTGGAGGGTCACCATTTCATCATTAAAATCAATCATTAGTCCTTGAAGTTCTTGCTTGAGTAGAGAATAACCAGGCCCTTACAGCAAAAGTGGCTTACTAAATTAATTGGTCTAGACTACGAGATTCAATATAAAATGGGGATAGAGAACGTGGTAGCAGATGCACTCTCTATGAGGGTGGAAAGTGATGGAGAATGTACTACTATTACTCACTTAATACGAGCATAGATAGAAGATGTGATTTCTAGTTATGAAGGAGATGATCTTCCTGAACAGAAAATCCCAGCCCTACTTCTTGATGCAACAATGAGCCTGATTATCGGTATAAAAATGGCATTCTCAAGTACAGGTGTAAGCTATATATTGGTAGTGGAAATGATATCAGGAGAAAATTAATCCAGACTATACATGCCTCACAAGAAGGGGACATTCCGAAATACAAGTTAGCATATTTAGCTCTTGTTTGATGCCCATTACCTGAAAATGAAAATGGGGGAAATAATATTTTCTAGAAAAATGAGTGGTTGAAAAAGAAGGAAAAGTTTTCGATTTACGTGTAATATTATTTTATGAAAAATTGTGTGGTTGAAAATAGGAGAGAGAAAAATAGAATGTAATGTAATTTAATTTAATGGGGGATCAAACAGGGCATTAGAGCTAAATAGAATTTTTATTGGCCAGGCATGACATAAGAAATTAGAAGAGAGGTGATGCAGTGTGACGTGTGCCAAAAATGTAAAGATGAACACTTGCCATATCCCGGCCTACTACAACCCCTACCTGAACCTCATCATTCATGGAGTCATATATCCATTGACTTTATTGAGAGACCACCAAAATCTGAAGGGAAGGACGTTATCTTAGTGATAGTAGACAGATTCACTAAGTATGGCCATTTTTTCACACTTTCTCATCCCTTTACAAGTGGCCCAACTGTTCTTGGATCACATTTATAAACTCCATGGCATGCCTCAGAGTATTATCTTTGATAGAGACAAGATTTTTACTAGCACCTTTTGGCAGGAGTTGTTTAAGCTCATGGAAATTACTTTGCAACTCAACTTAGCTTACCATCCCCAAACAAATGGCCAGACTAAGAGGTTTAATCAGTGCCTTTAGCTAAATGTCAGATGCATGACACACCACAAACCTAAGGCACAGGCTAAATGGATACCTTTAGCTGAATGGTGGTACAGTACCACTTACCATTTAGCCATTAAGCAAATACCCTTTGAGGCACTATATGGGATTCCACCACCCCAGTTAGCCATGGGACCTTATCAACAAACAAGTGTTTCTATGGTGGAAGACATCCTGCAAAAGAGGTATAAAATGGATCAGCAATTAAAGGAGAACCTAGCACAAGCAAGATCCAGAATAAAAATGTATGCTAATAAAAACAGGACCGAGAGACAATTTGAAGAAGGGGATTGGGTATACTTGAAATTACATCTATATCAACAGTGGTCCATGGCCAAGAGAATTAATCAGAAGTTGAGTCCTAGATACTATGGCCCTTATCAGATCGAGAAGATTGGAAATGTAGCATACAAACTGGTATTTCCCAACCAAGAAAAAATTCATCTTATATTTCATGTATCTCTACTTAAGCAGAAGAGAGGAAGCAGAGCAGTGGTTATAGAGCAGTTACCATTTGGATAGGAGGTGGTGGAAAAACCAGAAGAAGTGCTTCAAACTAGAATTTTCAAAAAGGGAAATCATGCAGGAACTCAGTGACTAATCAAATGGATTGGACAAACCACAGAAGAGGCTACTTGGGAAAATTCACAGGACAGATAGAAGAAGTATCCTAGTTTTAAACTTTGGGGACAAGGTTTAGATAAGGATGAGGGGTGTCATGATGAAGAGGCAGCAACTCAGTGGAAGAAGCGGAATGAAGAAGAGAACTAACTGTAACTATATTTCAAATGGGAATAGAGTGAGATCCACACCTGGCAATTATGTGTTATTTTTGTCTATTATGTTTCTTGCATTTCTATTATGTTTCTTGCATTTGAATACCTTTTTTTTTTTTTTTAATTGCGGTAGCATATATATAGAGATTAGACGAGTGAGGCAAGGAAAGTTTGGATGTAAAACCAATTCAGTTATTCTATTTCCTCTTCTCAATTTCTCTCTGCTATTCTTCTTCTACTTAATTTCTTCTTGCCCATTTTCCAATTTGTGATTATTTCTGAAATTGAGTTTGAGTTGCAGTTTTCTTGGACCGTGGCCTTCAATTTGGTACTAATTTTGAGTGAGTTCATCATCAATTCGAGCTTCACTCATTACACTGGTGTACACTTAATTCGGATTAAGTTGTGGTTTTTGGTCTATTTGATAAATGACAAAGCCGCTACATTTATCTTTTTCAATTTTGACATGTTTTGATACTTCCCATTTATGGGGCTCTTCTCCTTAAGCCCTTACATTGTCTATATTATCTATTGAATTTCTGTTCTTATCTAAAAGCAGTTCTCTCCATAATTTATAATGGGCATGTATGATGAACAATTCATCGTAATTCTGAATCATGCAGAAAGTTCAATATTTGATCTGAATAATAATTTGAAAAAGAAGACACTGGGCATTAAAGGCAGGACCCTGAGGTTATCAGTTTTTGAATCTCTTAGTTCCTGACAATATTTTCAAAGTTTATCCTCATTACAAAAATAGAAAATATGTTAGAATTTTACTTGTTTGGACCTGCGGTAAGTAGTAGTCAAGTCGAAGGGCACAACGTATTTGATTCTTGATCTTATTCCTTAATTAAAATGATGATTAGGTGAATCACAAAAACTCAATCAGTTTGAATGGTTTTTTGGACAAAAGTTTGAATTTTTGTTGTGAACTTCGATAAAAGGATGAGATGAGCTAATGAAAAATCGATTTTAGCAAAGTAAAACTCTAAACTTTCTCTATATCTAAATTTGATCAGCATATTGATAAAACAGAGAAGTTTGGGTATGATATTTCACTTTGTGTGAATCATCTATTGCTAGCGTCAAGGCACCTGTCCACTTGTCATGTACTAGAACAGTTATGGACAGTGAAGTAAAGAGCATAATTCACTATCTCTGAAACCAAGTTGAGTGAACCTAGTTCTCTGTTTATGAATCGTGTATGTCTAGTATTTAGTCACTTGTTCTCTCGTCATGGACGAGAATTTTCATATTTCCCATTAATAATAATGTGTCACTGAATACGTAAAGTGTTAGGAGTATGACTCAAATATGAGTCTTTTGAAGAGGCGTATTCAACTTAGACTAGGAGAATATTAACCTAGAGTTTAAAGAAACTAAGTTGAATAAGCAAACAAAATCCTATTGAAATTGTGTTTCCTAATTGTAATGTATTTTATTACCTTTTAGAACTCTTCTAAGGTTGGTTTACAAATACGAGGTTCTTCTGGTCAGTTTGTAGAGAGTAACATAGAAGCAGTATTGCTAGTCTGTCTTGTATTTTCCATACTGTTGAATCAATAAACATTGTTCCTATGCGTTTAGCCTTTATGTTCTTTCTTTACAAATTCAATCTTGTATTTTCGTGGTGATCTAGTATATTTCAATATTGTCATTAAATCTCATTCTTTATAATCCGATTTGAAATCAACGTGTGTTATTGGAGCTTCTGCTCCCAACATAAAGATGGAACTCTGATTTCCTGTTCTACTTATTGTATTTGGCTAAATCTTCATATATCTTAGTTTGCATGACAAATGTGGTCAAATTATTGAGTAATTTTGTGATAACAAATGATTCGATGTTTCTTCATGACTACAAATTCCTTCCCTCATCTGAGAAAAATTCAGAATTTTTTTGGCTATTGTTGATCAATTGAAAGTAATGGAAGTTCAGCTTTGATCATCAGCTGAACTAGATGGTCCATATAATGTTTGCAAACGTCCCTTTACATTATTTCAATTAATAGTTCATGGACTAGTGGTTTGAATCAACTTGTTGTTACCTCATGTTTTTTTGAAATTGTCAATGGCTATTATTTATTTGACATGTACATCGTAGTATTTCTTTTCATCTTACTATTATAATGCCTGGTAGGAGATATTGTTGCTCCGAAGCAAGCTCTTGGATCATACTAACGAGTGAGATATGCTGAAAGCCATAAAGCAGAGTGCATCGACACTAGTTCATCTTCATCTGTTCCTCAATCAGATCCCTCTAAATCGGCTTCAAGGTGAGGTCCTTCACATTGGAGTGAGTCACTTGCAACTATTAGGCTGCTACCCATAATGCATTATACATGGCATGCAAAATTAACAAAGGCAACATGCAATTCCTTAGAGCTGTGGTAACCGTAAACTAATAAGCCTACTCATAATGTGCCATGTTAGACTGTTTCCTGTTACCACAACTTTTCACGTCTAGTTTTAGGAATTGCATGTCTTTGTTAATTAATCAGGACATATTGCTGATACATGATTTAATCTAGCTTGTTGACCTTATTATAATTATGTCCTAAAGCATCTTGTATCTCCCAGCTTTGATTTTTGCTACCTTTGAATCACATTTTGTAGCATTTAGCCTTTTCTCACGCCGTAAATTCGGCCATTGCATATGCACTATTTTTTCACTTGTTACTTGTGTGTAAGGATAAATAAGTGATTTTTTGAGTTTCTTCCAGGTCATGGCTGATTGCTGTGTAGAATTAAACCTAATTACATCTAGTTTGTGAACATAAATGTAATGGATTTATAGGACAGTGTGCTTGCTGTATTTAATTTCCAAGAAAGTTGAATTTCTTTAACCTTGAAAATGTTACCTTGTTTTCTGTTAAATTTAAAAACTTCGGAACTTCCTGATTAGCCCCGGTTAGGAAAGGAATAGAGAAACTTTCTACTCACAATTTGGGTGTGAAACCATCAGCAAAGCTCTGTGTACAGAGCTTTGCTTACAGAGGGCTTACCGACCCCTCACATGGGATCGGTCTCACGTGGGTCCCGATGTAATAAAAAATGAAGAAAAAAATCCCGACCCCATCCCTTTGTGAGAACTCTGTAAGAGTTCTGTAAAGTGCTGGGCACTACGCCCAGCACTACCTGAAACAATTGGGTGATGCTAGGTTACTGTTTCGAATTCGATTTACAGAAGTCAACTTTGAACAAGTAATAAATGTGGTCACCATAAAACTAATAGGCCTACTCCTAATGCACCATATGAGACTGTTTCCTGTTATCCTTTTAGTTCTGATTTCACTCAATGAAAGGATTTATATTCCTTGTTGAGTCATGTGAAATCTATGTTAGCCTCATGAAATCTATGATAAATATCATATTTCTTGAGAAGGCAGTAGCATTGATGGGCTCTTGAGCAAAACATTATGATTCTTTTGAGTGAATTTAGGCTTTTCGTAGTCTCATTGGTGGCATTAATTGATGCAGTTCGTTAAACATAGTTGGTGTTAGACATTATGTTGTCAAACGACCTCCCGGGCGATGATGTAAACCAGGACTAAACGATAAATCAACACCGATTAATAGGATGACCCGACTTAACGTTGTTTTACCTATTGGATGGCTAATAAACCTTTGTGGCTTGTGGTGTGCTATTGGGCCATAAACCTAGTCCATATGTATAACTTACCTTAGTTTGTCATTGGTCTACTACATATATTGGTAACTCTCTTTTTTCTATTAGTCCCGTTTTGAAAGAACTTGAGAGAGAGAGAGAGAGAGAGAGAGGCTGCCTCCTTCTTCGTGCATCCTACTGATTGATCTTCTCTACCTCTTGCTTGTGTCTTTGTGACCCTTACCTGTGTGGTATTCATCCTTTGTGAGTGATCAAATAACAAGCAAAAGGAAGAAAAAGCAACCATAGGTAGAATGTGAGGCGACGGTCGGGTACCTTCAGTTTTTGGTGTTGATTCGGTGTTTTAAAGGTTAACTGAGCCCGAAAACCACCTTGAGCAGCTAGAGGAAGATCCTAACATCTGCTATCAGAGCTTGGTTGGCAAAAATCGGCTCAAAATCGGTTGATTTTCGCGTTTTCAACATTGTAGCCGAATCTAAAATTCTTCAATTACTCACAAACCAAAGCTCAGTTGGACAAACGGAGGCCATACCCATTACTAGCAGGTCGAGGCGCCCCTGGTGAGGCAGTACGTGGGTGACGGCGGCGGAGCAGCGGCGGCGTGTGGGTGGCATTCCGGCGAAGCAATCTTCAGGTAACTTGCTTGTTTCGATCTCTTGAACGTGCTGATATACTTTGTTTTGTGTTTCAGGTTACATAGAAAAAGTTGGATGATTTTGCCCCCGGTGCGATGCCGACTGAAATTGAACAGCAAGCTCGTTTTTCTCCACTCTACGGACTTAGATAGGTCCGCTCTGGTAAATTGGCTTAATCCTTTTATATTCAGCAATAGCAAGATCATCGTGTGGGGTGATCGTTAGATTTTGGGGTTACCGTGAAGGGGTAACCATTACTTGTGCTAGAACTAGGATTACTTGCGTTAATTGAGTGCTTGTTCTTTTGATTTAAGTGCTTGGTATTTCTTGGTGGACGTAGCATTTAGGTTCATTGTTACTTTTGCTAAAAATTAACAAGATATTACCTTATCACGCTTCCCAATACTATTTCGTGTGGTCTAATTAGTTTGTTAACTAACGACAACACATAATTTTGATTTGGGAATATTTAACGGTAAAA